AAGCTGTTCGAACACGAGCTGGGAGCCCTGAACATGGCTGCTCTGAACCGGAGAGAGGAGAGAGCGGGCCTGCTGAGTAACCTGGGGCCGTGCTGCAAGGCCCTCTGCTCGCGGAGAGACATCGCCATCCGCAAACAGCTGCTGAAGAACGACAAGGTGAGCGCTTACAGTGCACCGAAGGCGTCCTGATTCACTGATTTCGGAAGTCAGGTGGTTGATTTTCTGTACTCTGTTTTGATTTACGTGGATGTGCTAGGTAAGCATTTTTTTTAAGCACACCATCATTAGTGAGACTCGATTGGGCTCAGGTTGAGAAGGTTGATTTAACCGACTGAATGTCAAGCCTGGCGAGAGTACAGAAAGACATGTGGGACACAGACCTGTCAAAAGTGTGATGCCTTTGTTAAACGTTTGCCGACGTACCCTTTTTCCATGACATGCTCTGAAATTGAAAAGTAACTCCACTTCCCTTCTGTTTAATTCCACAGGGAGCAACAAAACAGGTGTACGCCAGTGCTCAAGTGGTGGACAATGAATTGCTACAGCTGAGTATCCGCTTGTTCAAGAGAAAGACAGCGGGTCAGCCCCAGAACCAGGAAAAGACTGAAAGCAGCACACTTTCTCCGCCAAGCGCACAACCTGAAGTGTGCGTAACTTAAGTTTACAGTCCCTCACTTTGGAAAGACTTCATAGAGACTGGTAATTGCTAGCCTATGGGGAAAGTCCTGTGCGTTGCACTGAATTTGTAATAATGTTTCAGCAAATCATTTTTAGAGCAGTGTACGGAAAATGCTTTTTTTTGTTCTGCCATTTTGTTCTTTTTAACATACTGTACTAAAATTTAATTTTGTGCATTGGTTATTAAACAGACCATTAGATTTTGTTGCTCTTTGGAGAGAGATGTACAGTTTCTTTATGATGTAGTTTTACTACATGAAAGAATCAGATTTCAGGTCAGATCAGGATCACTTCCTGAGATAACAGATGTGGGACCTGTAATACTTAACCCTGGTCCTGGGGGACCCATATCTTGTTATTTTTGTCCCTGACAAGTAGTTAATTAGAGGCTAATAGATGTAAGTCTTTATCTGAGATAAACTTTTAAACTTGCTTTGAGCTCTTACGAAATTGAATGATATTTGTATCAATTCTGTACCATTTTCCAGATTTCAGAACTGCCCTTGTTAAGATATTAGTGTTACTTCAATTGTCAAATTGGACCTCTGTAGATAGATAGAACCTCTGTAGAAGGATAGAAATACACTGGCCATATCTGATTAATTGCCACTCCTCCATTTCTGTTCATCATAAATTGCTCATTACCTGTTATGATACAGGAATCCAAAATGTTCAGGTGAAGAGAATTTGAATAAAGTTTCAAGAGCTTAGGCATCTAGAACGATACAGTTGTTACTGGGTATTTTTTAAAGCAAGGAACAGATAGACAAGTCTAAACAAGTAGTATTGTCTAAACCAGAGAATACCAGGTCATGAAATGAAACCCAGCTGAACTAAGGGTCTCCCAGTACCAGAACTACAAACATTCTGCAGATTTTACCAATCTTAAGGTTACCAATAGCAAGGAATGCACAAATATGAATGAATAATTTAGTGAGAAGCTAGAACAGCAGAGCCTTGTTTACGTGGATACAGGTTTTTAGTGAAACTCTGCTTGTACCCTAAACACTATCAATATTGGCTCAATTCAACCCATTTACCAGGCTCTTCCAGCCATTTAGGTGCAATTTGCTTAGAGGGAGGCTTCCTGCAGTAGCTCACTTCGGTTTTCCTGATGGAACTGAAATGTGAGACTTTCATATCTCTACTGTAACTGACATTTTTTTCTTAGATTAAACTCAAGGCTCAGATCTATGTGTATTTTTATACTAAGTTGAATTCATATTGCTCTTGAAAGGTTTTTTTTTTTAATGGACTGTACCATCTAAGTAGCATTTGGTGTCTAATTTACAATAACATTTCCTTCTGAAGCAAAATTCTTAGTTGCTACATCATCACTATGTCTACTCTGCATAACATTATGGTGGAAGGTGTATTCAACAACTGGTGAAAATACAGAAGCATGTAGACACGTCAGCAAAATGTAGGACTGAAAAGTGAGTCAGTCTCTGGGCTCCAGGACAAGTGTTTAACATTAGCTGTAAACTTTGCTTGAGGACAAGCTCTGTTTTTTTTTTTCTCATTGCTTAATGAAAATTTCAGATTTCCTATTATTTCTCTTGCTTTAGTGAAAGATACAGCAGGATCAACGTGACCAGTACAGAAGGAACAGAGATTCTAAATATATGAACATAAAGGATTTTACTCCTTGTACTTTTAATTTTTATCACATTTAATACCGTCAAAGAAATTAGAACCGGCAAGCTGTCAATTCAAGCTGTAAACATTTTATACAAAAATGACAACAGGATTTATAGTACTGCTTGAAACGCAGTGTCCTTCAGTAGCTCTGGGCAAGGGTCATTTGCCAGGTTTAGGATCTGTGGGGTTCTCTCCCGTGTCAAGTGTCTTCAGCAGCCGGAAGAGGCCTGCTGCCTCTCTGATGCGGCTGAACTCGATGCAGAAAGCCTGCACCTCTATAAACAAGTCCTGCACATTGATGATCTTGTTGCGGATGAGGGACTGGAGAAACACACAAACGAGGCGCACCAAGCGGTTCTGTAAAGCAAGAAGACATTTTCACTCTTTCGCTCAGGGGGTGCAGCCCACTTTCTGCACCCAGAAACAAAACGCACAGGGGGCTCCATTGTTTTTACGATTAGCAGTGTGATGCAGTTTATCTGGACGCAGGTGTTTTTGAAGGGCATGGGTTGCTCACAAGACTTAGGCATCAAACAAGAAACAGGAAAACAAGAAAAATAAGTCACTTCACTGTATTAAGGAAACAGAACTTATGAACACCAGGTTAGTGTCTACCACTTCTAGAACAAACGTTACAAACGGGGAAGCCACTCGGCACCTCTAGCCATGTATCAGGTCTTAGCCTTTGTGACGGTGCCATACTCATGCTTATGGCACTGCTGTATAAATTGCCTTCTTTGCTACAGAGCCCAAACCTGCTTCTTACCTGCATGTACTTGTCTTTGATCTGCTCACAGGTTGAAATACAGTTTGAAATGTACAAATGAATGAACTCTGAGGGAAGATCAACTGCTGTTGTAAGCCTGTAAAAAAAAAAAAAAAAAAAAAAAAAAGATGAGTAACGTGTGTCAGTACTCTCAGATCTGTATTTTCAGTTCAGTGTATTTAGGTAGCCTGGAGCTTATTCAACTACTGTAATACGTGCCACAGTATACTGTGTACAGTATAATATGTACTTAGTCCAAACAAAACTAAGATCTTGTGTGGTTAGGAGTCTTTTTGCCTACTTCATACACACCTGTTGACTACTTCCATTGAGTGGAGAGACATGTCCATGTTGACCAGCACAGAAAAGTACTCAGTGATCTGACTGGACTGCATCAGCTTCAGCAGCATCTCGATGGCAACAAGAGGATTGTTCTCCACCAGATCAGGCAGCTTGGCCGGGGACAACCCGATGTGATACACCAGCTTCGGATCTTTCTCCAGCTCTCCAAGAAGCTGACAAGGGCACATAGCACAACACAGTCTCCTCAGAGAAAGAACTGTACAGCCTGAAACGTACACAAGTTTACCCAGCTTTGCTTCACAAGCAATAGTATACTAAATACTCATTCAAGAATAGAATAAATGTTTCCTGTTATAAATAGTTTTAAGTGTAGTTTAATGCTTTTTGAAACTTGGAAAACGTTTAAAGTAGTCTGAAAAGGAATAAAAGGAAAGCCATGCACAGCACACCACTTTGTGTAAAATGACCATTTTTACACAACCTAAACTCGCATGAAACTAAAACCATAACAGTAACCAGACAGTTCTGGATAGTGTCTTCCAGACAGAGAGCTGAAGCTTCAGGATGCAGTCAAATTCTACAACAGATGCACGCAGATTGTTATAACGGGTTAGAAACAAAGCACACCCACCTCTGCAAAGCCTGAGACACTGATCCTCACCGTCAAATCACTCAACAGTACCCTTGCAGTTACGGTAAGTTTAAGTGCAGGTGGGGTGAATTAAGTTCACATTCAGCTCATTCTCGACAGGACGGGCAGACCACAGCTGTCTCTGCTCGGGCCCGGGAGCGCGGGCGTACCTGCGACTGCTGCTGTGACGACAGGGGGCTCTTGAAGGCCTTGGACATGATGCGTTTGATCTCCACTCCCGTGCTGTTCTTCACGCACATGGAGCGGTCCCACTGCACGCCGTGATCGGGCTCCGAGGGGTTCAGCCAGGCCAGCTCGTCCTCGCACACGTGGAGAGGGGGGGGAGGCCGGATGAACTCGGGGCGAAAGTGGCCTGAACACATGAAGATGAAGGCAATGGGATGAGGCAGGAGTAATGATCCGAAAGAACTGGATTTCTACTCGAGCACAGCCAAGCAACATGAACACTAGGGCTCCATGTGTGTCTTACTGATCTAACCTTAAGAAGTAGTTTGAGTAAAGTTATACTTTATATACTTAAGATAAGTTCTAATCTTTAGCCATATTCAATTTCTTGCATTTGGAATTAGTCTTTTCACATACCCCAACTTGCTCTCCATGAGACACACAGACAGGGAGAGAAGCTGGGGGTCAGAGCGCAGGGTCAGCCATTGTATGGCGCCCCTGGAGCAGCTGGGGTGAAGGGCCTCGCTCAGGGGCCCAATGGAGTAGGATTCCTCTGCCGGCTGCAGGATTTGAACCGGCAACCTTCCAGCCACATGCACAGATCCTGAGCCACAGAGCCACCGCAACGCCCATACTTGCAATTTGCCAATATCTAAACCTAGTGTACATGCTTTTTATGTACAGATCTCCATTTTGTGTTCTTCAATCCTTTTATAGTGTGATAAAGGAAGGAGTGAGACTTACTTTCCAGTGGTGGGCGTGGCCCGCTGACCAGGGCCTCTGTGATCTGATTGGCCACTGAGCTGTCAAATCCAGAATTAGAGGAATCCGGATCAGGATCGTTAAGAATGCTGGGAAAACTCGCCTTACTTTGCGTGGGGAGTTCAGACTGTCGCTCTGAGGGAAAGAAAAGAAACTCAAAACTCCTTCCACTTTCTAACAGATTTTATCCACTACAGGGTCAGGAGGGGCAAAGTCAAAAGTATTATAGTAAAAGAAGCTGTGCTAACACAATTTTTACCACCAGGTAATAAAGTAGTTTAGACTGGTTGGTACATACCTACAGGAAACATCTGAATCTCCTTAAATCAATAAGCTACTAGCAGCAGAGTGGATCTGATACATGAGACACTCTTCTTAAAAGTGCAACCCAACTTTTGACCTTACAATCTTAACCAAAACGAATTTCATTCAAGGTAAGCATACTTCCAAATGAATCCCTTATAAACTCCGTCCTTCATTTTTACCACGTGTGTGGCAGACTGGGCACAACACAGAGTCATATCCAGCTGGTGCTTCTGAAAGTGAGCTGGCAGGTTCACTTGACAGACTGGCACACTTAACAGTATAACACAGACAATAACTACTTTCACCCCTCACTCTAGAGCTAATATGCCAACACTAGAGGTGCCCAGTGACTCAATAGGGCCACTACTGAGTGTCAGAACATTATTACATCCATAGGTAACTCCTACAGTCCACATACCTGCCAAAGCCAGCTGCAGGCCGCTAATATCCACTGACTGGGGCATGTTCCCTACGTCCATGCAGGACACCTGCCGGGGCGTCTTTTTGAAAAGCTCTTTCGGGGGCGCCAGCATGAGCTGGGAGAGGAAGAATTTCTCCGGCAACGTTATAGGAGGGAGGAATCCTGTGAAGGAAAGAGAAGATCAGCAGCGGCCGGCGGTCGTGAAACTAGTTTTGCCTCTTTCCCGCTGGGTGGCCGGGGTGAGAGCGGTCGCAAAAACCCTCGCCAGCAATGAGCGCTTTTCTGATCGCGGCAGAAACAAAATTAAGGGGGAGAGACAACAATACTTGTGTCGATATATCTGGCCAATGCGCGTCCGCGAAACACAAAATGGTCAAACACGTTTAACGTAACGTGTCTTTCTGACACACATAATCCATCCCCGCTAACTCGTAGCTCCGTTCAAGCACACCCGGGACCCGGGACTGTGCCGGATGAAAAGGTAACAGGCGTCCGTCCCCCCCATCCCCTCAGACTCCAGCCGGTCCTCATAAACTCGCATTCGGGTGTTTTGTCCTCGAACCGCTGCCGGTCTGCCCGAGGGGGACGGCGGAAGCAGCCCGTCACCGGAGCGCGGCTCAGCGAGGGCCAGGCTGCCCGGGGAGAGCTCACCCGAGAGCGGCTTCTCCTGCTCGTCTCCCACCGGCGGCGGGTTCAGCAGGTGAGCGAAGACGGCGGCGAAGGGGTTGGCCGCCAGCGGCTCGGTGCGGTACATCTCCCAGAGCAGGTAGAGGGCGGTCAGGCGCTGCGGGGAGCTGGGCAGCAGGTCCGGCTGCTGCAGCAGCATCACCAGCACCGAGCCCACTCGGAAGTGGTCGGCTTTGCCGAAGTAGTGGTGGAATGCGGACGAGAGGCCCTCGAAGGAGTTGGTACAGGCTTCCTCGGAGATGATCCCCAGGAGATTGGAGAGCTCCTTCGGGGCAAGTGTCATTGTGCTCCAGGGGAGGTGTTGTTTTTCGTAAAAGAAACACCACACAAAGTCAAGCCGAATCAGTCGCCCCCGAGTGTTTTCAGCAACGCGGGCTGGTCATATTACCAGCCCACACGGTCTTGCTGCTTGAAACGATGTACAGCCGCCCTCTTCCAAGCTCTTCCCATGAAAAGAAACATACAGACACGACCAGGCGACGGTTTTATTACGTGAATATCTAACAAAAACCTCAAAGTCTACCATTCATTAACATAAGAACTCCACGACTAGAAACAAAACACCCCAATCGTTTTGAAGGTTTCTAAATACGGCACTGTCGTCAGGTTGTTTTTTACGACAGGAGGCGCTGCGGAGACTTCTGGGAAATGTAGTCGGATGTGTCCATTCGATTTCCTTACCTGTGTATCATACAAATAAACATACACACAGAGATTAAACGACAGGAAATTTAAAGCAACGAGTTGTGTATTTTAATGTTGATCAAAGAAGTAATGTATACATAAATGTAGGTCCCACATCTTCATTATGTCTTAAATTCCATCTCCATATATTTATATCAATATATTTTAATTATTTTCTAAACCACAAATATATCCTCAGAACCTATTTGTACAAGTATTTTCTAAGTAGCCTTGACTCTTCTATCCTGTTACAGTAAAAACACATTACAGTCAAATCAGACTCGGAGTTGCCGAATAAGGTGTAAATATCGCTCACAGACGGGCTTTTGGACTTGCATCAACGAAACTATTTCCTAACTACAATGTAGTTACAACTTTTATTACCACCTCATTGTGAGGCTCTGTATCGTTCCTCTAATTTTGAGCTGGCAAAGCAGTACGGACCTCATTTTTATTTACTGTGTTTAAGCTTTTTTCATAATGTGTATTTGTATTGTAATATGTACCCCTGACGATGTTATTGATATGTTATATGTTCTTTTGTTTGTATTGTATTGTATTTGTTATTATTGTTGTTGTCTAAAAACAATTGAGCTGTCAGCCGAGTCTGTCTTTGCCCCGGAAGTGATTGTTCTTCCGCAGGTTTAGTACTACCCAGAATCCTCAACTCCTTCCTTTCCGACATTTTCCTTGGAAGAGTGAGTACATTGAGAATTCAACCGCCTGTAAAATCCGACTTCATCCTGCCTTTCCTGACGCCTAATTTTTCGTTTTAACCACAGATATGCGTAGAGTTGTACATAAATAATAAAAGTATGACAGTATTTCGAAGTGATGTGCATAAATGTACGAGAAACGCCCGCTATGTTAAAAGCTGACTTGCCGCTACAGATCTGGAGTTAACTCATACCCGGCTCTGTGCATACGGCTGAAAACCCTGACAGACTGTACTTGTGCCCTGGCTGTTCAGTATTCAGTCATTTTAAGTCTAAAGCAAGCGAAGTTGTGCTGGTCTTTAAGAGTTTGTGGCGGTCGCCCAACCTTTTTTTTAGACCTTTGATATGTGTGTAATGGGGCCAGAAAACCGATCGGCACACGTTTAAGTTGCCTACATTTGCTTTTGCATGTGATATTAAATGCGTTTTGTGAAACACGACGGATTCCTGGCACGGGTGCTGTGAGTGTGGTTGTTACCGAGGTGTATAGGACCAACACGGCCTAGACTGTGATCAGATGGCTGCAGCTTTAGAGCGGTCTGGAGGTGCCGTGGAAACAGCCCGCTGTCCTTCAGGAAGTGCTGTATTAAAATTTCATACATTTATTAAAAACCTTCTTGCCGGGACTTGATTAGAAAGGCTGCGGTTTTGCTTCACGCAAGGGAAAGGCGGTTCTCCCCCGTGTTCTGACACCCCTGTCTGTTCAGATGGCTCCCATTAAGAAAGGAGGCGAGAAGAAGAAGGGCCGCTCCGCCATCAACGAGGTGGTGACCAGGGAATACACCATCAACATCCACAAGCGCATCCATGGAGTGTGAGTCCTCGGGGTCGGGGGGGTCTGGATAGGCTTGAGGTGCTGTGTTTGTGCTAGGGGGGTTGTAGAGCCAGAGCAGGTGCAGATATCTTGCTGCTCGTCTTAAAGGGCTGATTATTGTTGTGTTGTTCATTTGAATGTCGTAAACTTGTTTCAAGTGGCATAGAGGCCCCTGCACTCTTTCTCACCCCCCC